GGAAAGTTGATGTTTTGGATCGGGACCCTTCTTCAGAAATGGGCCCATTTCTGAAGAAGTGTCCTGATCTGAAACATCAGCGTTCCTGCTCCTCTGATGCTGCCTGGCCTGCTGTGTTCCTCCAGCTCCACACTGTGTTATCTCTGACTCTAGCATCTGCAGTTCTTGCTATCTCTGAATGATAGTTGAACAGTTGGTTTTGGGATTCTTGGCTTGCTGGTGAGTTGACTTCCAGCACTTGGATTCAGATAGTCCTTTTACCTGCAGTGCCAGGGGTGACTAGCAGGTGGTTCTTCAAATGTGATCTCCACAGCACACTAGTGCTCAAACCCAGGCTAGTAAACAGGAACCTCAGTTCACAAGCCACCTTCTTCCACCAGGCTTGCAGTCAACTTTTAGCCCCTTTCTCTTTGTGTTCCGAGCAGGGCAAAACGCAACAAAAATCTGTGATAAATGGCTGTCTGCTGAGAGGAGAGGGAGTGTCATGTGATGGAGGGAGATGATTAGCCCCCTCTTCCTGTTATGTTCCTCTCTCTGAAAGAAATTTTGCTAACCTTCTAGAGGTGCAACATTCCATGGGTCCCATACAGGACTTTACCACACAGTGTCTGAATTTACATCCACATTCTTTCTTGCTCTGTAGCAGTGCTCTTATTAAACAAAAATGAAATAATAAACTAAAAAATGTCCACATTACTTTCGGTTTCTGATACATCATCATGACCCCAAAAAGGCATTCGACCAGTTTCCACATGGTAGATTGGATAGCAAGGTTAGATCACATGGAATACAGGAAGAACTATCCATTTGGATACGGAACTGGCTCAATGGTAGAAGACAGAGGGCGGTGGTGGAGAGTTGCTTTTCAGACTGGAGGCCTGTGACCAGTGGTGTGCCACACAGATTGGTGCCGGGGTCACTGCTTTTCAGCAGTTATACAAATGATTTGGACGTGAACACAGGAGGTATGGTTAGTAAGTTTGCAGATGACACCAAAATTGGAGGTGTAGTGGACAACAAAGAAGGTTACCACCGAGTACAACGAGACCTTGATCAGATGGGCCAATGGGCCGAGGATTGACAGACAGAGTTTAATTTAGATGAATGTGAGGTGCTGCACTTTGGAAAGGCAAATCAAGGCAGGACTTATACACTTAATGGCAAAGTCCTGGGGAGTGTTGCTGAACAAAGACACCTTGGAGTGCAAGTTCATAGTTCTTTGAAAGTGGAGTAACAGGTAAATAGGATAGTGAAGAAGGCATTTGGTATGCTTGCCTTTATTGGTCAGTGCATTGAGTACAGGAGTTGGGAGGTCATGTCGTGGCTGTACAGGACATTGGTTAGGCCACTTTTGGAATACTGCGTGCAATTCTGGTGTCCTGCTATAGGAAGGATGTTGTGAAATTTGAAAGGGTTCAGAAAAGATTTACAAGGATGTTGCCAGGGTTGGAAGGTTTGAGCTAAAGGGAGAGGCTGAATAGCCTGGGGCTATTTTCTCTGGACCATCTGAGGCTGAGGGGTGAACTTATAGATGTTTATAAAACCATAAGGGACATAGATAGGTAAACAGACAAGGTCTTTCCCTGGGGTGAGGGAGCCCAAAACTAGAGGGCATAGATTTAAGGTGAGAGGGGAAAAGTTTAGAAGGGACCTAAGGGGCAACATTTTCATGCAGAGGGTGATGTGTGTATGGAATAAGCTGCCAGAGGAAGTGGTTGAGGCTGGAAGGATTACAACATTTAAAAGGCATCTGGATGGGTACATGAATAGGAAGGGTTTAGAGGAATATGGGCCAAATGCTGGCAAATGGAACGAGATTTATATAGGATATATGGTCGGCATGGACTATTTGGACTGAAGGTCTGTTCCTGTGTTGTGTATCTCAATAACTCTATGACATCAGCATGTTGCAGCCTGAAGCTGTATACAACGATGGTTGAAACTCCAATGGTCTTTTCATCACAAGGCTGGTTAGGAATTGCTGGTCTTCCTGCCTGCCATTGGTGTGTATTAGAAGAATTTGAAGGTTGACACTTGGCTATATCATGCAGCTGCGTTATGAATCCAGCATCCTCAGCCATGACGTTCTGGAACGGGACTCAAACCCAGAACCCCTGTCTCAAAGTCAGGGACACTACCCACTGTCAACTGCTTGTAGAACACCAAACCTGAAGCGATCCTGTAGAAATGGAAAGTTGGTAACTGGGCAATTCAGAACCAGAGACCATGGCTGTTTTGTCCTTTCTGCAAGCAGCCCAGGGCTACCATTGGTGAGGGAGGCCATCCTCTACACTATTGTCTCTGGTCTCACTGTGACACCCCACCCTCAGTCTCACTGTGACACTCCACTCTAGGTCTATGGTCTCCTCTTTTGGAAATGTAGGCAGACAGTTGAGTGGGGATGGGGGGAGGGTACAGAAATGATTACAAAATCTGCTCTGGTGTACATTTAACACCTGGAAACGACTAACTGAGCTCTCACTTCGTAACAATTGCAGTCCAAGGTCAAAGCTTTTATAATGTTGTATTGTTTTTTGACATAATGTGCTCGAGGCTCTGAAAATAACAGCAGCTCTTTACTATCACGCTAAGGCCAGTGGTTTTGCTGACACAATGTACTGTGTTGAAAGGGATGAGAAACTCACGTGGGATATTTTTCACTTGTGTTTCAGCTGCTGCTGTACAGCCTGAACTCTGTGATCTCTGGTGAACTAGCGTTGGAGAAAGTCCACCTATGGCAGTGGCCTGGAATTGCTGACACTCTGCCAATATTTGCCACTTCCTTCTGTGGTCACCCGTAAGTGGAGTGAAGATATGGTGCTAGCAAACTGCTTGCTTTAGGCATTGCAACATGAAGGAGATTGATTAGCTGAAAAAATCCTTTGTTCAAGGACGAGAGGTCATTTTTCAATACGCGCTTCAGTGTTCCTTCGAAAGGAAGGGTAACCTTATACCTGTGGACTGAGGGGGAGTCCAATTTCCTGGTGTATAATTAAGCCCCTCAGCAGGAACGACTCATTCAGCACAGAGTTTCCCATATCCTTGTGCACATGAATATCCATCACCCTTTTGCTCATTATGTGGCAATGACTAGATTTTAAAATCCTTGCCTTTGTTTTCAAATCCCTCCCTGGTCTTGTCCCTCTCCAATCTCCTACATGCCCCTCCACCCAACGCCAAATATTCCTCCAATTCTGGCCTTTTGAGAGTCTTCAATTTTAATTGTTCCTCCACTGGTTGTCATGCCTTTGCTGCTTTATCCCTGAGTTTTGGAATCCCATCCCAAATCTATCGCCCTCCTCACTGACTAACCCCCATCCCCACTTCCTATCTACACTCACCTGTACTATCTTCATCCTTGCCTCCTTGATCTGATGGTCTTCTCTCCCACCTATCCGCTTCACTATCCACCTTGTATCACCGCGCCCCCCCTCTCTATTTATTTGAGTCCCCTTCCCCTCCCCCATTTCTGAAGAAGAGTCCCGATATGAAACGTCAGCTTTCCTGCTCCTCTGATGCTGCTTGGCCTGCTGTGTTCATCCAGCTCCACACCTTGTTATCTCAGATTCTCCAGCATCGGCAGTTCCTACTATCCCTATTGCTCACAGCAACCTCTCTTGCTTCCTTTGAAGCCATTGCTCTCTTGCTCCCATCCTAATATCTCCTTAGAATGAAAAAAAAACTGCAGATGCAGGAGATCTGAAACAAAAACCGCAATTGTTGGTGAAACTCAGCAGGTCTGGCAGCATCTGTGGGAAGAAAACAAAGTTAACACTTCGAGTCCAGTGAATTTTCATCAGAACTGCTGGACTCGAGACATTAACTCTGTTTTCTCCTCACAGATGCGGCACGGTGGCTCAGTGGTTGGCACTGCTGCCTCACAGCGCCAGGGACCCGGGTCTGATTCCAGCCTTGGGCGACTGTCTGTGTGGTGTCTGTAAATTGTCTGCATGGGTTTCCTTCGGGTGCTCTGGTTTCCTCCCACAGTCCAAAGATGTGCAGGTTAGGTAGATCAGCCATCGGAAATGCAGGGCTACAGAGATAGGGCAGGGATGTGAGTCTGAGTGGGATGCTCTTCAGAAGATTGGTGTGGAGTTGATGGACTGAATAGCCTGCTTCCATACTGTGGGAATTCTATGCTTCCAGACCTGCTGAGTTTCTCCAGCAATTTCTGTTTGTTTCCATTATTATCTTCTTATTTGTCTCAGCATCATTTTTTTTAATATATACAAGGTCCTGCAAAGTGCTTTAGGATAACTTACAACATTAAAGGCACTTTAGAAATGTAAGTTGTTGTTTTATGCCTGAGTGTGATAAAGTCGGACAGCGTTTTGATGAAATGCTATTTGCAATATGGAAACTGTCACGTATTAGAGGAATGAGCAAGTAATCATAGGAACCAAGATGCAGATCACAGGCTAAATAAAGACCAAAAGAACTGCAGATGCTGGAAATTGGGCACAAAAATAGAAACTGATGGAAAATCTCAGCAGTTCTGGCAGCATCTGCGGAGAGAAATCAAAGTTAATGTTCCTGAGGAAGGGGTCACTGGACACGACCTCCATCCTGTCTCACACCACCCTCATGGACAGTAATTTTCTGTAATTGTACAATTCAGAGGGAAGGGGCAGGCAAATAATTGGCCTTAGGATCAATAGGACCCTAGCATCTGTAAGGCCAACCTCAAATGTTCATCACCCAGGCTTAGATGTGTGGGCAATATTTGATGTTGGAGTTGGTCATTGACTTTCCAATCTAAGCTGCGTTTGCATTATGTTTTATCTTCTCTAACCTTCTGTGTCAAGACTGGTGCTTCCAATGTACTTCAGCCTCAGAGGGCAATCTGTGGAGCAAATGAATGTGATCTGCAAGCAAGCAACCATCACCACCTTCGTCTTTTATACTGTAGTAAGTTACTCAGCGTGTGTTTCAATCAATGCTTTACTGTTGGAGTAATCCCTGAGCTTGTAAGTTGTAAGTTCACATTTGTAAAGTCCTACCTGAATCATAGAAACATAGGAAATCAGTGCAGGAGTAGACCATTCAGCTATTTGAGACTGCACCACCATCATTACCATCATGGCTGATAATGCAATCTCAGAATCCCATTCCCATCTTCTCTCCATATTCCTTGATCCCTTTAGCCACAAGGGCCATGATCAGCTCCCTTTTGAACATATCGAATGAACTGGCCACAACAGCTTCCTGGGGGAGAGAATTCCACAGGTTCCCAACTCTCTGAGTGAAGAAATTCTTCCTCATCTCAATCCTGAATGGCACACCCCTTATTCTTGGTCCAGAATGAATAGGACAGAACTTCCTCCTTCGACTACTCCTGTTCCACCTTGAGGTGGGATCAGGCCAGATCCTGACTCTGAATTTAGCTGCACTTAGACAAAAAGCAGATGCGAAACTGGGAATCTATTTCAAATGCAATTGTGGACATAAGACAAAATCACTCTTAAGCTAACAAAAGGCAAATTTGAAACCTAAACGTTCCTGGCCCTGGGGAGGGACATTTTATTTTGTAAGAGGGTATTAACTGATCAGCTGTTTTGTACTCACTCTTATTTTGATTGAGGTGAATGGCCGGTGATGTATAATCGATTCTTGATAGGGATTAGACTGTCCAACCTTTACCAAAGTAAAAATTGTCCCTTCACTCTTTTATATTTCAAGGCAATGTTGAAAAGCGAAACTAAAATAAAAAAAAAATCTAAAATAAATGTTAGCATGTTACTGAAAGATATATGTAATAGGTTAAGATGATTCAAACTAAACAAACTGCCTCAGGCAGTATCAATAAAGAGCTGGAAAAACATATTTAAGGCAGGATAGCAGGTGATTTAATGAGGAACTTGACATTCCCTGTTATTCTTTCATTTCAATACAGCAGCGATCATGGGCAGGGAAGTTATTTACATGTGGATAGTAACCAGGGACAAAGACAATATTTGGATATTTTCCACAGCTTTAGGTTTGAAGACCTTTAATTATAATATGGATATGATTTTGTTCCTTTAAACTGAAACATGTTGAAAGCAGATGTTCATATTGTACTATTTTCTTTCTTTAAATAAACTTTTCAGGTTGGAGTCTGTGGCTACCTGACTCTCGTTGAAGCTGTACCAGGCAATATACTCGCTGCTCTACCCTTGGGTTTTGCAACAAATGGCATCCGTGCTATTTTTTTAATCTCACTCACATTAAACTTCCCACTGATCATTCTACCCTGCCGACAAGCCATTAGCACGCTCCTTTTTGAAGAAGAGGTTAGTTTATTGATCAATCAGACAAACGATAATTGCCAATAAGACAGAAAGCTGAGGAGTACTTAAATTGAGGTCTTGGGTCTTTATAGGGTAGACATAAAGAAGATGTCTCCATCAGCGGCCAGAATTATAAGTGAGTTACTAATAAAGGCAATAAGGAATTCAAGGCAAATTTCATGATCAGAGAGCAGTTAGAATGTGGAATTTGTTCCTTACAAGGAGAGATAGTGGTGATTAACATGGATATATTAAGGGGATCATCATTGAATCCCTACAGTGTGGAAACAGGCCCTTCGGCCCAACAAGTCCACACCGACCCTTGGAGCATCCCACCCAGACCCATCCCCCTATAACCCACACATCCCTGAACACTACAGGCAATTTAGCATAGCCAATCCACCTAACCTGCACATCTTTGGACTGTGGGAAACTGGAGCACCCAGAGGAAGCCCACACAGAGAATGTGCAAACTCCATACAGACAGTCACCTGAGGGTGGAATTGAACCCAGGTCCCTGGTGCTGTGAGGTAGTAGTGCTAACCACTGAGCCACTGTGATGTTAGACAATGTGCATGTGGGAGAAGGCAGGTTAAGCTGATACAGTGAAATAGAGTGAAGTTGGAAGAAACTTAGAGCATAAACCCCATTGTAGACTAATTAAATTGAAAGGCCTGTTTCTGTATGTTTGTTGCTTTTAATGTAGTATTGCTGGTGGATTATAAGGACACAACCAGTGCTGCAAGATTTCCCTGCACTTTCCCATCTAATTACTCTTTCTATTGGCTTAGTTTTCCATTAATAATAATTCCTGTTTGCAGGAATTGTGACAGACTGAGGCCACAGCTGGAATCATTGGGAACATTATGGAGGTTCCACAAACACCCCCATCCTTGATGACGGGGAAGCCTAACACATCAGTGCATTTACAACTTCAACCAGAAATGCCGAGTGAATAATCCACCTCAGCCTCCTCCAGTGGTCCCCAAATGCCAGTCTTCAGCCAACTTGATTGACTCCACATGATATCAAGAAACGGCTGAAGGTACTGGGTATTGCAAAGGCTATGGGTCCTGACAACATTCCATTAATATTGATGAAGAGCTGTGCTCCAGAACTTGCCACATCGCTAGCCAAACCATTCATTTATAGAACAGGGAGGATGTCCTGTTGAGCATGCAGCGAAAGTTTATTCCAGGATCATGGATCAGACCTGTTGGGTTTTGCCCTTTTTCTGAATGTGCTTAAAAATGAGTCAACATTCTGGTTAAAAACAAACTCAAAGGATTCTCAGCAATCACTGATGTATTCTTTACACACTTTGCAGAAAGAAGATGGCACATTCTCAGTGAGTGGAGATTTGCCCTTTCGTCAGCATGTGATAACTACAATGTTAATAGTTTACAGTACCATGACCATAGGTATCCTGGTACCAGATGGTAAGTGACATTGGAATTGTGAGCTGGAACCAACAGTATGAGAGTGGCTTACTTTAATGGGAGAACAGACTCGGGATGGGGGTGCTGAATGGCTTCTGAATTCGGGGTTGGGGGCGAGCTGGGAATTCTGATAAAATGATGTCATAGGGCCCTGTCATTTATTATTGTCGATTGATTTGTAAGCTATGACAGTATCCTGTATTGACAATAATTACTGCTTTTCTGTTCTTTCTAAATAAACATGTTCTCTAATTTATTGTCTTAGGAATGTTCCAGTGGTGGGTAGAGTTAGGGTTAGGATGCATTGCAATAGGGTTAGGGTTAGGATTAGAGTTAAGGTACACCGAAATAGGGTTAGGATTAGAGTTAGGATTAGAGTTAGGGTACAGTGCAATAGGGTTAGGGTTAGAGTTAGGATTAGGGTTAGGGTACAGTGCAATAGGGTTAGGCTTAGAGTACATTGCAATAGGTTTAGGGCTCACTGCAATAGGGTTAGGGTTAGGATTTGGGTAAGGGTACAGTCATAGGGTTAAGGTTTTGGGTACAGTGCAATAGGGTTAGCGTACAGTGCAATAGGGTCGGGGTTAGGATTAGTGTACATTGCTGTCATAAGACAGTTTATGTCATATCTAGGAAACTAAGTTCAGTGACAAAGGTTTGGTTCGAAAACCACACTGTATTACAAAGTCATGCAAGGGTAAGGTTCGAGTATTTTTTTCCCATTGTGAAAGAAGTTTTGTTTGAAGCAGGGATTGAGAGTAAGGAAATGTAAGAAAATGACCAGACTGGAAATGAAGGGAGCTCTTTAAACACAACCAGTTTTTCGATGTGAAATGGACTGCCTGAAAGGGAAATGGAAAAAAAGTTTAGTAGTAATTTTCAAAAGTGAAATGGCTTAATACATGAAGGAGATAATTTGAAGGGTTATGTGAAAGGGGCAAGGGAGTAGGACTAATTGGATAGTTAACTCAGCAAACCATACAATAGATTAAATAGGTTATCTTCCTGTGCTTTATGATTCCAGCAAATCCAAAGAACATCATAACGAACATCTCTTTTCCTCCTTATACTGCACAGTCCCATGTCTGTAAATGCCAACTATCTATGCTTGATCTTTGTTACTGGTTCAAAATTTCAGACAACTGTTACCTTTGCCCTTCTCACTCCCTCGAGATTCTCATCATTGCCCTGACTGTGGTCTGTGTTTGGTCTTTCAGTGCAGACTGTGTTAGCAATCATAGGAACCACCATGGGAACAGTCATTTGCTTCATTTGTCCATCTGTATTTCATGCAAAACTGCGGAAAGATACTTTCACAGACAGAGTAAGTATAACTTTACTACACAATGTTATGTGGGAGTTAGGTTAGTAATTTACCATTTCACTTCCACCACTGGGGAGTTCTAGGTTCCATTTTCATACCTCAAACTATGGAGTATACTCCTATAGGATCAATTCTTCAGGCTACAATAGTGGCACGATGGCTCAGTGGTTAGCACTGCTGCCTCACAGCGCCAGAGACCTGGGTTTGATTCCATACTCGGGCGACTGTCTGTGTGGAGTTTGCACATTCTCCCCGTGTCAGCGTGGGTTTCCTTCCACAGTCCAAAGATGTGCAGGTTAGGTGGATTGGCCATGCTAAATGCCATGTAGGAGTCTGGAGGGGATGCCCTTCAGAGGGTCAGTGCAGACTCAATGGGCTTCTTTCTACACTATAGGGATGCTATGGAAGGGTAAGGTTTCTTTTCCAGTTAACTGGTGAATCAGGAATAATTTTAACCCGCACAATGTGGTAACATGGGACAGTTGCAGTGTTAAAATATGAAAATTCTGTGTCCAAATTCGAACCTGCCCACCTCCAATTTCAATGGGAGGGAGGTCAGGGTGTAGGCAGCCAATCAGCTCACAGGAAGGAGGTGGGCAATTTAATCATTACAGTGAGACTGTGTGTGTCCTATTGTACCACGAGTTTAAACTTAACCATGGCCTTGGGAAACCAGATTGGTAAAGAGAGATGAACCTGCTGACACAGGAGGTAAGGGTTTTCTGCTGGAGCCAGTATTACTGCCTCACCAAGCAGCTACAATCAGACAACATTGAGTCCCCGAGTTATGTAGTGATGACATTGGTTTCTATGTGTGGAGCAGGTTTTATACACAGTACTCTCAAATAGCTTCTTCATAGGCCTCCAGCTCTTCGTACTTTGTTTTATTTTCTCTGAGTCTACACCCAGGTTTAAGCCACCAAACACAGTGAGCACCAATCTTAAACAGACTCACGTTATTAAATGAGGAACAATTGAACATGACAGCATCGACCTCCCACTCTGACTGAATCACAGAATCCCTACAGTGTGGGAACAGGCCCTTCGGCCCAACAAGTCCACACCAACCCACAGAGTGTCCTACCCAGACCCATCCCCCTATAACACACCTAATCTACACATCCCTGAACACTACAGGCAATTTAACATGGCCAATCCACCTAGCCTGCACATCTTTGGACTGTGTGAGGAAACCAGAGCACCCGGAGGAAACCCACGCAGACACGGGGAGAACATACAAACTCCACACAGACAGTCACCCGAGGGTGGAATCGAACCCGGGTCCCTGGCGCTGTGAGGAAGCAGTGCTAACCACTGAGCCACCGTGCCACCCCAAATGGGGAGTGTTTTGATCTTCTCCATTCCTGGTCTTTTCGGTGTTGCCAAATGGCCCCATCCCTGGTTTCCCTGTCCCTCCCTGGTCTCAGAGTGGGATCATCTTCTTACACTCCAGCCTCCAGACCCCTCCTCACTCCCTGGGCTATGGCCCTGGTGACGATGGCCTACCCAGCAGCCTCTCTGTCTGGTCGTCCACGGTTGGGAAACAGAGACAAAATATGGCCATCGGGGCCAGGCTTGAAGTTCGGCGGAGAGTTCTAGAAGCCTGCTCTTCTGGGTTTCTCAGCCTCAAATCCACAAGACCCTTCACCCCCCACACCCAGCACAACCCTGAGACGCTCCTCACTTCAAAGTGAGTATCCAACTGGGGAGCATTGCATTAGTCAGGGCTGCAGCTGGAAACAAACTGGAAGAAGGATTCTATGAAGAGTAGGAGAGGTCAGTGTGATGGAGGTGGCGGTGGGCATTCTTGTGAAAGAAAAGATAAGGATTCAAATGTTCATCACCAATTGTCAAGCTTGCAAATGGTGGGGGAAGGGGATGAAGGCAGTGAAGATGATAATGGAGTTTGTGGTAGTCACCATGAGCCTTGGTCATCCCCATGTTTAACAGGATAGGAGGGCACAGCTTATTCAAGATTGGGTATGAGGAGTCTCATGGCATAGGGGCAATCGAGGATCTGGGAGTGACGATGAAGAGAAAGAGCTAAAGATCTTGATATTATTGCAGACAATGGGAATGAGAAAGGGGAATGGGACCCAAGGACAGCTTCCTGGAGTGCTCACAAGGTTGCAAAGTTGGTGTGGAAACAGAGATCGCGACTGAAAAGCCTCTGGCTCTGAAAATTCAATGAGCATAGAATTAAATAAAGGCGATTAACTCCATTGCATAACGAAGGTGAATGATGTGGTTGACAGAATAAAATTCATTAGGGGTTCATTCTTCACAGAGAAATAGGAGATTTTTCGATCATTCATTCCTGTGCCACCTCTAATTCCTATTGATCAATGATAAATTCAGCAATATGATATAGTGGCTATGATTGTTTTGGTAAGTACTGATTATATTTTGGTCTTGTTTAAAACAAAAATGGAACTATACAGACATCTTGTTGAACTGCATTCCCAGGTACATGGGAATAGTTTCAAACAGCCTCTATTCCAAGTGGCAAAGGAGCTTTCATAGAATACCTACAGTGTGGAAGCAGGCTATTTGGCCCATCAATTCCACACTAACCCTCCAAAGAGCATCCCTTCCAGACCCACCCACCCAATCCTATAATACTGCATTTCCCATGACTACTCCACCTAACCTGCACATCTATGGACAATTTCCCATGGCCAATCCACCTAACTTGCACATCCTTGGGCTGTGGGAAGAAACTGGAGCACCTGGAGGCAACCCACACAGACAGGGGGAAGAATTTGCAGCCTCCATACAGACAGTTACCTGAGCCTGGAATTGAACTTAGCTCTCTGCTACTGTGAGGTAGTAGTGCTAGCCACTAAGCCACTATGCCACTCAGCTTTCTATCTGGGCACCCTCTCTCTTGTAGATGGATGGAGTGAAGGTCCATGTTCAATGACAACGGAAGTCCATGCTGGGGAAAGGTTACCCATTTTTACAGTAGCAAGTATTTCCCGGTCAGAAACGGCATTTAAACATGACAGAAGATATCATACTTTGGCCTCAGGAACCTCCCTCAGGGAGTCAGGGTAATGTTTTAGTGATATAATCTCTCCAAGGAGAAGGATGACGTAAAGGAAGGAGGAAGCTCATGAGCAGAATGCACATTTTCATGGAACTTTTTGGCCTGTTTCTGTTTTGTAAATACTATGCAGCAGAAAATTTCCATGTAACAAATTCGTCCAAAATGTTGTGCTGGCAGCTTATCACAGAATCATTGGGTTGAGTGGTGAGGTTGAGGATGTAATTATTAAAGAAAAGCCATCCCAAACCTCAGACAAAATCCTTCATCAAGTACGTTGTTAATTTAACTCACCAAATCATTAAATACGTGATGTTATCACGTGAAGTGATATACCGAGATGTTATAGTATTGAGGCCCATTTTGAGGCACGTAGTTTGGTCAATATTAATGCACTTGAAAGGGGCTCATTTCAAACACGGTGTTGTAGATTGTTCTGGGATTCGGAATCTTCCTGCTCCTTATCCGTGCATCCAGCTTCGCTAATTTCAATGGGGAAGAATTCCGATTACAGCCAGTCCGGAAATCCATAGTGCCTGATGAATCAGGAAATGTAAAGATTACGCAAAGGAATGAAGGTAAGGCAGTTGTTAAATTTTTAATGATGATACTGTAATGGGGATGCTTCTGTAAATCAATCATTTTTAAAAAAAGGAGTTTAAATGGTCATTCTGAATAACCAGAGCTATTGAATTTTCAAGTGGCCACATATGTGAGTGCTGAGATGACCAGGCAGAAACATTTGCTGTGGGAGCACAGCCAGTTTGCTGGTATTTACCATCCTGGGCTAGACTGCAACAAGCCAGATCAATGCGAAATGAGCGAGTGTCCTCAAATGGTGGGTAGCCAGTAAAAAAATGGACTTTTTAGGGTAATTAAGACCTCATTTCTGCACTGAAGCACCCCCAGTGGTGGATGAATCATGAAGATGAAAATAGTTGACCTATTGACAGGAGACGTGGGGCCAATATTTCAGTTACATTTAAGGAAATGCACTCATACTGTCCCACCCAATCCTGTCTGACCTCAATATCAAAAGATGGCTACAGCCGTGGTCACATGACTTCCTGCTAAGGAGATTTCTGACTCCCACAGTGACAGTGTGATAGCTGTCGTTTACACAGTCATAGACATAGAGTTGTACAGCATGGAAATAGATCCTTTGGTCCAATTCATCTGCACCGACCAGATATCCTAAATTAATCTCTTGCCATTTGCGTGCATTTGGCCCATATCCTTCTGAACCCATCTTATTCATATACCCATCCAGATCCCTTTTAAATGTTGTAATTGTACCAGCTTCTACCACTTTGGCAACTCATTCGAAACACGCACCACTCTCTGCATGAAAACGTTGCCTCTTAGGTCCCTTTTAAGTCTTTCCCCTCTCACCTTAAACCTTTGACCTGTAACCTGTGACCTGTGACAGGAGTGTTCAACAGGGATCGGTGCTGGGTCCACTTTGTTATTTATATAAATGATTTGCATGAGAATATAGGAGGCATGGTTAGTAAGTTTGTAGATGACACCAAGGTTGGTGGTTTGGTGGACTGTGAAGAAGGTTATTTAAGATTATAATGAGATCTTGATCAATTGGGTCAATGGACTGAGGAGTGGCAGATGGTATTCAATTTGGAGAAATGTTGAGGTATTGCATTTTAGTAAAACAAGCAAGGGCAGGGCTTATACAAGTGAAAGTAGGACTTGGAGTGTTGTAGTACAGAGAGACCTAGGGTTTCAGATACATAATTCTTTGAAATTTGCAGGCATGCTTGCCTTCATTCCTCAGGCCTTTGAGTACTGGAGTTGGGATATTACACTGAGGTTTACAGTATGTTGGTGAGGCCTCAGGACTATAGTGTCCAGTTCTAGTCGCCTTGTTATAGGAAGGATATTGTTAAATTGGAAAGGTTCAGAAGTGATTTACCAATATGTTGTCAGGTATGGAGGGTTTGAGTTATAGGGAGATAGGCTGGGACATTTTTTATTGGAGCGTAGGCAGTATAGGGGTGACCTTGTAGAGGTTTATAACATCATGAGGGGTATAGATAAGGTGAATGGCAGGTGTATTTTCCCTATGGTGGAGGATTTCAAGGCTAGGGGACATATTTTTAAGGTGAGAGGAGAAAGATTTGAAAAAAGACATGGGGGCAACTTTTTTACACAGAGTGGTTTATGCATGGAATGAACTTCCAGACAAAGTGGTGGATGCAGGTACAGTTATAACGTTTAAAAGACTCTTATATAGGTAAATGAATAAGAAATGTTTGGAGGGATATGGGCTAGTTTAGTTAGGGATTATGGTCGGCATGGACTGGTTGGGCCGAAGGGTCTGTTTCCATGGTGTACGACTCTATGACTCTTTGCCCTCTAGTTTCGGGCTCCCCCACCCGAGGAAAATGACCTTAGCTATTCACCCTATCCATGCCTCTCATGATTTTATAAACCTCTATAAGGCCACCCCTCAGCCTCCGGTGCTCCAGGGGAAAAAATGCCTCCTTCCAAACTCTGGATTGCTGAGATTAGGTGTAACCTCCCTTTATTTGGTCTCAGCCAGAATCCAAAGTCAGGATCACCACCTGAATCTTGTAATCTGATCTGCTTGGATCGACTGAACCACTGACTAGCGGAGCAGAGATGGAGATCAATTTTGCAAATTATTTCAGAGTTCAACGAATGGTAAAATAGATGCATGCCTAAAAATAATGGACCCCAGAAAAAGAAGTGTAGTGGGAAGGTTTGACAGAATTATAATTCATTCAGGATTTAAAACCCATTCTGTACTGATAGACAAAGAATGGCTTGGAGGGAACATTGCAAGAAGAGTAGGCCATTCTACTCCTCGAGTATGTTTGGTGCCATTAAATCTATTTCCTGTGTCTTAAATCTATTTCCTGTGCTTGTTCTCTAACCCTTTAGCACCTTACAAAAATACATCAATCTCAATTTTGACATTTTGAATTGCCATCCAATTCAGCGGCTTCCTGGAAGAAAGGGGAGTTCCAGATTGCCACTGCCCCTGTTTGTGAAGAACTTTCTGACCATCTAAATGGTGTTGCTGTGTATTTTAAGGATCTTTCCTCTTTCTTCTGGTGTCTCTGATTTGTAGGCATGGATCCTTGAGCAAACCACCTGCTAAATATGCTAACTTTTATTTATTTCCTCATACACCGCACCCACCCCTGCCTATACCCACAGGACCAACTTTACTAGAATTGATGAATGATGTTGGAAATGAACAATTGAAACGAAAAGGTCGACTGTTGACATACAAGCAAGTTACCTTAAATACTGAAGTCAACAAAGAAAATGCCAGCAAAAAAGGAGTTACCAAACTGCAAGAGACCGGTTTACCCTCCACACCTAGCAGTGGGGAAAGATTAAAGGAACTGAAAGAAACAGAAAGGACAAGAGCATTTGTACCTTCATCAGAAAACAAGCGGCAGGCAAAAATATTCAACATACCCAGGAGACAAACACACACAAATGGTTCCTCAGGGTGATGAGGTCAACTTAGACTTTGAAAATCAATGCACAGATTGAAACTTAAATGACTACTGTTCTGACCATTTTCCGTATTAGCATAATTTAATTTTGGAAAGTCTGAAAGCATTAGGGGAGTAGAAAAGAACAACAATGCCTCAGTTTTGCTCTTTGCACTCGGTACTGTTACACTGAGCTGATGGAGACCTGCTGGAAAGGGAACATTCCTGTGCCAAGAATTTGAGATAGCACGGTGTAGAGCTGGATGAACACAGTAGGCCAAGCAGCATCATAGGAGCATGATGCTGCTTGGCCTGCTGTGTTCATCCAGCTGTACACCGTGTTATCTCAGATTGTCCAGCATCTGCAGTTCCTACTAACCCCAAGAATTTGATCTGCCTTTTTTCCAACTGTCTTTGACTGGAAGTCATTTTTATGCCATTATTTAAGAAAGTACTACATGAATCATCTCTGAGTCTATTGCTCACCCAGGAGAATGATTTACCATTTCTGATACTGGCTCCCACATTGCTGACCATAGCACACCTTCGAACACAATGAACAAACAGTCTGCAATATGTGTCAAGTTTTGGTCAATGTGAGCTGATTCCTTCTGTGGGTCTATTAACCTGGATTTTATGATTGCATTTCCCAAGGGGCATTAGCCAAACACTAATCAAGCTAGAATTATCTAACATTCACCGCACAGCATCTGTTTTTTTTTTCAGGAGCTATCCAGTTCCAATATTGAAAGGCAGGAAGTGTACGCACATATTTCAGGCCATTTGCTGTTTTGGGAAGGGTGGTAGTGCTGACAGATGGAGGGCACACTAGTTTCTACAGTGGCACATTTAAAGAAACCATGTAAGCTGGGAACCGTTTTTTTAAATCATGAACATTGCAGTACCCAATTTCTGCTCACTGCAGCACCCTGACCCTGACCCTGACCCTGACTGTATCCCTATTGCAGCCACATGCTGAACACACATTGTATCACATCACACTGAGGAGTGGGAAGACACATTGTATCACATCACACTGAAGAGTGGGAAGACACATCCATGTTTCCCTGAACATGGATCTAAGGGGAGTGGCCAAGCTGGTTCCCAGTCCAGCAATAATGTCAGTTTGAGCTTTCTTATCCTTCTGTTCAATCCCGTCCAGAGCCTCCCCACCTCCCCTTTTTCTGTAGCCTCCTGTGGCCTTACGATCTTTTGTAATCACCAACTTCCATCGATCCGAGCCTTTTGTGCACCTTCCACTTCCTTTATCAAATGTCTTCAGTCATTTAGCACCTGAGTCCCGCCATTCCTTTCCTAAATGTCTGTATCTTTGCAACCCTGTCCCTTCTTTTATCAGGTGCATGCTTCTTACACCCTACACCCTGGGCTCACCTCTATCCCAGTGATTCTTCCTTTAACTTGTTGCCAGTTTCTGTCTAATATCCCTCTGAGAATGCAGCTTAGTACATTTTGCTATGTAACTGCAAAGATGCTGTTTTTAATCATTGTAAATCTATCAAGGGAAAAAAAAATAGCCTTGGAGCAGCAGCTGGCTGGTGGATGTTTTAATGATAGGATGGATTTTTGAGAGGCCTGGGACACTGCATGAACTTTTGAAATGCTTGCCAAAACAGCAATCCCAAGCCAGACAGATTCTGCTTTTGCTGGTGGGGGAATGGGGTACGATTCACACAGGGTGGAAATCCAAGCTGGACAAAGCCATTTCAACTTAATGCTGAGTTCAAACCAGTATGATACTGGCTGCTGCAAAGACCTTAACCATATGGAGGAGAAGTAAATGTTCTTGGAGAACAGATAATTCTGTTTCAATGCCATGATCTGAAGTTTTCTGAAATCTTTAAACATAAAAGAAGAGGAGGTTCAAACAGTCAGTGACCTCCTGTTGAGTTAATTTGATTGAACAGCAATCTAATGCATGTTACATAAAAAAGAATTACTATCTTTGTAGAGCTCTTTGTTCACTTTTTTTTATCCATTCACTGCTGAGTTACCTCAGATCATTCAGAATGACAATAGGAGTCGAATACTTTGAGCACAGTGCCTCTGGGTTAGAGGCAGCTGGGTGTCCCGCTCATATAATGAAATGACCTACCCCTGGCTCTATTAACCCATAAAGGACTCTCTCTACTCGGCAATCATAACATAATTCAGATCCTCATTCATATTCAAGTTCGTATCCCACTTGGGGGCATTGGAAAGAAGTTAGTCAAAGCAACCTTGTAGCCAATAGGCCAATTGTCGCCTCACCACTCACTGCCACAACTGAGTTCAGCCAAGATTAGCACACATTCTGAGTTGTATAAACTTTCGCGACTTGGGGAAGGGGCTTTTCTCCTCCAATCAGGTACTTGTCAGTGGAGCCAGACCCGAGAAGCAGAAGGCGACAATATTTCTGTCCTGGCGGGAGGAACACTCCTTGTATCCCAACTCTAGATCCAATATTACCTTCACCATTGAAAGTGAGAGCAGGGAATTGTCAAAGTGGGGTTTAATGAAGATGCATATGAGCCTCTGATGTAAATGTGGCCTTTGTGGTCATGTGTTAGAGACTCTGTTAGAAGGTAAGAGCTAGTACAGCTTACAGCAGGTTTCTCTGCTGCCACATCATCAGGTATGTTTTCTACATTAATATTGTCAATAAATATGGTTTAAAAGAAAACTTAAGATCTGGCCTCATCTTGTACTAAGAACGGAAAAACTAAAACACCAATGTTTTCACCCATAAGTTAGTCTGTTCTTGTCTGCAAACAACATATCTCAAAAACTAGTGGACAGCTTCCAATAAAACTTGGCTCATACATCGGAAATGGCCCAAAAATAGAATTGATCAAATTTTGGTGGAGAAGCAGATCCAGTTACAGATCCCAGATTTTTACTTGTTAGTTTTTCCAAAATTCCGGATGCAAAATAAAGGAGTATAGGCCTCAATGCTGTTTACTTTGTTCCTCTCCTCTCACAATGATGAACCGAAAGGATGAACATTTTGTAACCCCTGCATTTTCTATACTACACTTGTTAAGCCTTAGCATCAAAATACAAACAAAAAAGCCTCAGATTAAGAAGTGTAAAAAGGAAAATAAAATTTGCTGATTCCGGACTGGCTTTACCTTCCAAATAGTACACTTTATTTGCAAAGTTTGTAAAAAGGACATTACTAAACAGTTCAAATTTGGCAATACAGAAATTGCAATACAAACTATAGACTTATCAACTCATTAATGTCTAATGCAGAAGGAGACCTTTTGGCCCATTGTTTCTGTACTGTTTAACAAAATCTGACTATGCTAATCCTATTTCTTGCTTTTGACATGAAGTACCTGACCACACTTGTCATTATAGCTTTATTTACAATACATGGTTGCATTTCACATCAAACATGCTCTGGTGTGGACAGTCCAAGGAGTTTTACATGGTTTAATAACTTTTGATGTAAAATGGTGGGAAGGCCTTAGACTGTGGCCCATTGAAGCTTTGATGTAGCTGCACATAATTGAGTGCATCTCTCAGCACATGGCCCTCCACCTTGCAACATACAGTACTCAGTTATTGACAGCTGCTCCATACTGCAAGACCAGCAGATTTCTGGCAGCTCAAAGAGCATTCTTCTGTGATTTGGTGGCACCCCAACAACAGTTAAGTTTTTTTTTTCACTTGTTCACAGGATGTCTGGCACCACTGGCTAGGCCAGGATTCACCATCCATCCCTAATTTCCTTTGAGAAATTGGTGGTGAAAAACATCTTGAGCTACTGTGATCCATGTGGTGTAGGCACATGCTTGGAACTGCTAGAATGAATTCCAAGATTTTGACTCATCAGTAGTGAAGGCATGATGTTATATTTCCAAGTCAGGATGGTGCTTGGCTTGGAGGGGAAGTTACACATGGTAGGGTTCCCAAGCATCTGTTGCCCTTGTCTTTATCAGTGTTGGAGGTCGTAGGTTTGGAGGTTGTTGGCAAAGGAGACTTGGCGAGTTAAAGAACAAGAACAAAGAAAATTACAGCACAGAAACAGGCCCTTCGGACCTCCAAGCCTGCACCGACATGCTGCCCGTCACAATTAAAACCCTCTACCCTTCCGGGGAGAACATCCCTCTATTTCCATCCTATTCATGTGTTTGTTAAGATGCCCTTTAAAAGTCACTATCGTACCTGCTTCCACGACCTCCCCCGGCAGTGAGTTCCAGGCATCCACCACCCTCTGTGTAAAAGACTTGCCTCGTACATCCCCTTCAAACCTTGCCCCTTGTACCTTAAACCTATGCCCCCTAGTAACTGACTCTTCCACCCTGGGAAAAAGCTTCTGACTGTCCACTCTGTCCATGCCCTTCATAATCTTGTAGACCTCTATCAGGTCGCCCCTCAACCTCCATCTTTCCAGTGAGTTTCACCGACCTCTCCTCATAGCTAATGCCCTCCATACCAGGCAACATCCTGGTAAATCTTTTCTGTATCCTCTCCAAAGCCACCACATCCTTTTGGTGGTGTGGTGACCAGAATGGAACATACTATTCCAAATGTGGCCTAACTAATGTTCTATAAAGATGCAATATTACCTGCCAATTTTTAAACTCAATGCCCTGCCAATGAAGGCAAGCATGCTGTATGCCTTGTTGACTACCTTCTCCACCAGTGTTGCCACTTTCAGTGATCTGTGTACCTGTACACCCAGATCCTTTTGCCTATCAGTAGTCTTTATTCATTCACTGAATGAGGGTGTTGCTGGCTAAGCAGCATTTATTGCCCATCCCTAATTGCTCAGAAGGTAGTTAAGAGTCAACCACATTGCTGTGTGACTGGAGTCACATGTAGGCCAGACCAGGTAAGGATGGCAGTTTCCTTCTCTAAAGGATATTAGTGAACCAGATGGGTTTTTCCCGACAATCGGCAATGGATTCATGGTCATCATTAGACTCTTAATTCCAGATATTCGTTGAATTCAAATTTCACCATCTGCCGTGGCAGGATTTGAACCTGGGTCCCCAGAATGTTATCTGGGCCTCTGGATTAACAGTCCACCGATAATGCCATTAGGCCATTGGTTCTACCCTTGGTTCTACCATTTACTGTATATTTGCAATTTGGACTTTACCTTCCAAAATGCATTACCTCAGATTTTTCCAGATCAAACTCCATCTGCCATCTCTCTGCCCAAGTCACCAACCGATCTATATCCTGCTGTATCCTCTGATGTTCCTCATCG